GGCCTGGCCGTTAGGAAAATCTTTTTCTGAGCCAAAGAATCTCATACTTTTAGGTTTACACTTTAAGACATTTTCTCAGGATTAATTGTAAATTCCTTAGAGGCAAAAATAGTCATTTACTTTTATTCTTATTTCCACAGAAACTAATAGAACTGGACAAGAAGCAAGACTTAGGTTTAATTGTGTGTGGACTTTATTTCAAGTGGTTTTCCTTGTCTTAACAAGCTAGGCAGAATTTGTCAGCATTGTGTTATGTAGAATAGGACCTGGTTAAAACAGAAAACTATGTTGAGAAAAATGCCACCTCCTCTAAAGCAATGTGAATGGTAGTGGTTATTCCCTCAAATGAGTCTTTTTGGAATATGAGAACTCATTCCAGTGAAGCTATCGTTGCCGAAAACATTTTTGGATCTTCTTTTCTTTTGTGGAAAGAAAGATTACGGTAAGATGAAAAGGATGTACTCAGGTGCCCTGGCCTCACTGGGGTTTGATCACATCTCCTCTACTTAGAAGTGATGTGGCCTTCAGCAAAGGAGTCTGGTATCTCGACTCTAAAGGGGGATCTCAGATGCCATGGCTCATGCCTGTAATCCCAGCACTTTGGGAAGCCAAGGCAGGTGGATCACTTCAGGCCAGGAATTTGAGACCAGCCTGGCTAACATGGTGAAACCCTGTCTCCACTAAAAATATAAAAATTAGCCAGGTGTGGTGGCACATGCCTGTAGTCCCAGCTATTCAGGAAGCTGAGGCAGGAGAATCACTTGAACCTGGGCTTGAACCCGGGAGGCGGAGGTTGCAGTGAGCCGAGATCATGCCATTGCACTCCAGCCTGGGTGACAGAGTGAGACTCCGTCTCAAAAAAAAAAAAAAAAAAAGAATCTCATATATATATACATATATTTGAGACAGAGTCTTACTCTGTCACTTAGACTGGATTGCAGTGGTGCAATCATAGCTCACTGCAGCCTCAACCTCTTGGGCTCAAGCAATCCTCCTATCTCAGCCTCTCGAATAGCTGGGACTACAGATGCACATCAGCAAGCCAGGTTAATTGTTTTATTCTTTGTAGAGACAGTCTGTCACTATGTTGCCCAGGCTGGTCTGGAACTCCTGGGCTCAAGTGATCCTCTCACCTTGGCCTCCCAAAATTGCTGGGATTACAGGTGTAAGCCACCAAGCCTGGGCCAGTACATCTCTTTGTACACCAGTAGTTGTTTCTTAGCCATGGAATGAATACGATTTTTCAGAAATAGCCAAGCTATTTGAAACCAAATCTGTTAAATAAGTACAGAATAGTGATTTTGTTTTTTTAAAAAACAAAGGTTTTTTGGACAATATAACGAGAGGGCTTTCATAGCTAGTTGATTAGATACATGAGAAAAATCAGTTCTTACAGAATTTAAATGGGATATTTGGTTTCCCAAGATAAATTACTTAAAGGACGCTATATGAAGAATTGACATATGATGTGTTTGCTTAAAAATGCACTCTGCGGCTGGGTGTGGTGGCTCATACCTGTAATCCCACCACTTGGGGAGGCCGAGGCACGCAGATCACTTGCGGTCAGGAGTTCAAAACCAGGCTGGCCAACATGGTGAAACCCCATCTCTACTAAAAATGCAAAAATTAGCTGGGTGTCGTGGCGTGCACCTGTAATCCCAGCTACTTGGGAGGCTGAGGCAGGAGAATCGCTTGAACTCAGGAGGCAGAGGTTGCAGTGAGCTGAGACTGTACCACTGCACTCCAGCCAGGGCGACATCTCAAAAAAAAAAAAACCAAAAAAAAAAAAAACACCAAAGCACTCTGCAAGCTTACTGGCTAACTCTTGTACATTGCAGCTGGGAAAGTTTGATGCCTCTGAGGGCGATGCCAAAGCCAGATGGGCTGCTGCGGCATGAGCATGGAGTAAACGCATCAAACTTCATCACAGATGACGGATGATGACTGCGGTGGGAAAACCCACACAGGGACCTGCAAGCACGTCTCAGGAAGAGCTGTCTTACTAGGGGCAAACTTATGGTAAAGGATGATGCCATCATTTGATAAAATGTTCTGTCATGCTTTTAGCGGCGAGTTTTTAACAAGAAAGCAAAACACTCACCATGAACCAAATGTTAACATCAATGTCAACCAAGTCACATCATTTCCTGTTCCACTTGGTTTTGAAATTCAACTTCTCCTTTATTTAAAAATGACATATCAAAACCAGTCTTCTTGAAGAGGTAACTTAGGAAATGGAGCAATTTACTGTGGCTTTAGAGGATGTAAAGGGCTTCGTGCAGTCGGACACGTACAGGGCAGCAGCTGGAGGCACGAAGACATAGGGCCATCACTCAGTGTGGTCCCCGGGCCAGCAGCAACTGCACAACGTGGAGCTCCTTAGAAAGGCAGGATCCTGGACCTCACCCTGTTTCAGAACCCACATCTTTTTTTTTTTTTCTTAATTTGCAAAAATTTATTCATATACAAATGTGCAATGTCAATAATATGACCAATTAGGTTTGTTCTTGAAACATTTTCAATTGAACAGGAATTAAGTGCTTTTGAAAAGTGACAAAATGATCATACAGTGAAGATCTCTCTTTATATAACAGGTATAAATCAGGTACTAACTCTTGATTTTACTCTGAATTAACCATGACATACTAAACGAACTTGGGCTTCCGGCAGAACCTACATCTTAAGGCGAGCTCCAGGGGATGGGTAAGCACATTAAGGCTTAGGAAGCACTGTTCTAGGTAACAGCTCAGGTCTCCGGGCTTAGCACTACAGGGAGAATGTGACTAGGAAATGGAGACTTGGGTTCTGATCTCAGGCTTACCACTAAATACTTGCTGTTTCCCATTAGCCCTGCCTGCTTCTCAGGACTGTGGAAGACCAAATGGGATCCTTATTAACAAGGTTCTGTAAGATCTGGGCTCAGCCTGTCTCAGACCTTATCCTGTACTACTTTCTATTTTGAGTTGGACTTTGTAGCCAGGCTGACCTCAAGCAGAGCTTGTTTCTGCCTCAGGACCTTTGCACAGGCTGTCTTCTCTGCCTGGAACACCCTCCCCTTTGACCTCTACACTGCAGTTGCCTCCTGTTAATCAGATCTCAGCCTAAATGTTGTCTCTCCAGTGAGACCCTCCCAGACCACCCAGTCCAGTGTCCTCGGTAAGTCTAACTCTTTAACTCTCTGCAAGGCACTTCTCACTCCATCCAAGCAGGGACTGAATGTCTTACTCCTGGTTCAAGGCACTGGTGCCTTGAACTATGCCTGGCACACTGTGTGCTCAACGCACATTTGTTTAATGAGTAGCTTAAGGCGGTAAAGACACTGGAAAAAACAAGGGACTGCACGAGTATCAAATACCTTTGTCAAGAAATAAAACCTCCCCAAGCCGTGTGCGGTGACTCAATTCCAGCACTTTGGGAGGCTGAGGTGGGTGGATCACCTGGGGTCAGGAGCTCGAGACCAGCCTGGCCAACATGGGAAACCCCATCTCGACTAAAAATACAAAAAATTAGCCGGGTGTGGTGATGTGCATTAGCTACTCAGGAGGCTGGGGCAAGAGAATCTCTTGAACCTGGGAGGTGGAGGTTGCAGTGAGCCGAGATCATGTCACTGCCACTCCAGCCTGGGCAACAAGAGGGAAACTCTGTCTCAAAAAACAAAAAAGAAAAGAAAAAAAAAAAACAAACACCTCCCTTGCCTTCCCCTACTGATTTCTCTAGGAAATGACAGCAATGTTACCCTGATCACTCTCGCAGCCCATATCCTGCAAATGGAAATCTGCCAACTTCATCCAGGAAGAAAAGATGGAATGCAGGTTGTTTTTTTATCGCATTTCAAGGAACGATCATTCATTCACTGCCTATACATCCTTCCTTCCAGCATCACTGTGAAACTCTGCATGCATATTAGGTTAATTTCATCCATTCCTCTTGAAAAAGTGAAGGACTTAAACCAGAAAAGCGGCCACAGAGGTCACAATACAGGATGGTTAACGTCACTGTGTTAACAGTGCCTTGGCCAAGGACAGCCAGATGGCCCGGAGGCTGGCCTGGCAAAGCCGCTGGAGAGTTGGGGAGGGCTGCGGGTTAACAGCAGGGAGCACATACTTCATTAGACTACAAGCCGGGAGCCGTCCAGAGGTGCCTTCTGCCACAGAATGGAAATTTAATAATGGTTTATTGGTTTAGTTGTGATTTTCAGTTAAGCATGACAGAAATTGGTTTTAAGTCCAATATTAGAGGTTCTAAAATGTTAGTTCACACAGTCTAATGATGTATGACGGGAGAAGGCCACAGCTGTTTTCTTTAATCTATTTACAATCTTCCCAGCAGAAAGGCTAAATGAACTCTCATACCATTATCAGGTCAGGGCTAAATGCAGCCCCGATCACAGGCAGTGATGCCTTCTTATGAACTACCTCTGCCTGACTTTCCTTAGCTCAGAAAATACTACAAAGGGAAAAGGCGTGCTGAGAGCCTCTGCTGCTCCGCCAAGCATACAAAATAAACAGAGCAATGGCCCCATCTACTGACACAGGCTAAAGCGGCACACAGGACGTGCGGCAACACAAGCAATCCTGCCTCAAGCTCCTCTTCACGCCTGTGACCCACAGCACTGCTGAGGAATGTCTGATGCCTAGTGAACTACTTTATTATTGTCCTCAGGCACAAGGTAATACGAGGGGTTTCAAGTATTTTCTCTAGGGTTCCAGGTCTTCATTCCTGTGTATGCCATTTTTTTTTTTTTTTTTTTTTTTTGAGACGGAGTCTTGATCTGTTGCCCAGGCTAGAATGCAATGGCACGATCTTGGCTCACTGCAAGCTCTGCCTCCCGGGTTCATGCCATTCTCCTGCCTCAGCCTCCCGAGTAGCTGGGACTACAGGGCCTGCCACCATGCCTGGCTAATTTTTTGTATTTTTAGTAGAGATGGGGTTTCACCGTGTTAGCCAGGATGGTCTTGATCCCCTGACCTCATGAGTTTATACCTAGTTTTTTTTTTTTCGAGACAGTCTCGCTCTGTCACCCAGGCTAGAGTGCAATGGCACGATCTCGGCTCACTGCGACCTCCTGCTCCCAGGTTTAAGCGATCCTCCTGCCCCAGCCTCTTGAGAAGCTGGGATTACAGGTGCACACCACCACACCCGGCTAATTTTTTTGTATTTTTAGTACAGATGGGGTTTCATCATGTTGGTCAGGTTGGTCTCGAACTCCTGACCTCATGATCCGCCTGCCTCGGCCTCCCACAGTGCTGGGATTACAGGCGTGAGCCACCATGCCTGGCTGTTTATCCCTAGTTTTAAATTAGCTGGACAGCTCCAGATGCAACCAGAGGTGCAATGGTTTTGTATCGGATCAAGTGCTGTGAGCCCTTTTCCAGGTCAATCACGTAGTCCCTGAAAAAGAGGGAAACATATTCGCCTGTAGAGCTCGGCTGGCCCTCCATTGGGAGGAATGTGCCCACTGTGAAAGACGCACGCCACTCACCTCTGCTCATCTGTGTCTGGTTCTACCAGTATGTTTTCTTGTCGTTCTCTCACTCTCAGAAACACGTAAGAATCTAGATCTGGTTTGGGAACTGCCAGGAAAATAATAATATGATCAGGAAATGCTCGGCCAACAAAGTCAACAAAGGAAAAGTTGCTGGGAGGTATGGCACACTCAGGGTTTAGATAGGAGTCCAGCCCTTTCCTATTCTTCTAAGATGCAGACAGAGTGGCTGACCAGGGAGGGAACTGGACACGGATTGGGCCTTTTGTTTTCCTCAGGCAGCCTCAGCAAAATGACCAATTCAGGGTTTCACAGGTCTGATATGGGTCTGACTTGCAGCTGGTGTTATGGGCTACACTGTGTCCCTGCAAAATTCATATGTTGAAGCCCTAACCCCCAATACTTCAGCATGGGATTGTATTCGGAAACAGGGCTTTTAAAGAGGCAATTAAGTGAAAGTGTGGGCCCTAATCCAATCTGACTGGTGTCTTATAAGTAGAGAATAGGCCAGGCAGTGGCTCATGCCTGTGATCCCAGCATTTTGAGAGGCTGAGGCTGGAGGATCAATTGAGGCCAGGAGTTTGAGACCAACCTAGAAAACAATAGCAATACTGTCTCCACAAAAAATTTTAAAAATAGTAGCCAAGCATGGTGGCACATGCCTGTAGTTCCAGCTACTTGGGAGGCTGAGGTGGGAGGATCACTTGAGCACAGCAGTTCAAGGCTGCAGTGAGCTATGACAGCGTCAAAGTACTCCAGCCAGGGCAACAAAGACAGACCTTGTCTCAAAAAATAAAAAAACAAAAAAAAAAAGGGAGGCGGGAGGGAGGGGACTAGGACACAGAGACTGGGATTAGTGATCTTATGGAAGTAGCCTGAGAGTCTGCTTGCCCCTTGCCCTTTGCCCCTTCCCTTCTCTGTGGCGACATATGGAAGGCGCCATCGATGAGGAACAGGCCCATGGCAGATACTGAACCTGTTGGGGCCTGGATCCTGGACTTCCCGGCCTCCAGAACTGTGAGTAGCCCAAAGGGACTAAGACCTTGTTCCACCACCACAGGGGTGGCCGTGTGGCCCCCAGCCCCAGCACAGGCTGGGCAGAGATGAATTTCCAGGGCTTGGGTGCACTGGAGCTCGTGGCCTTGGAACACTAAGCTCAGCTTGTAGACAAGGCGGGCTCCAGACCCCTGGAGGGCATTTGATTTGGTGTGGCAATTTTGCCTGAGGCAGTCTTGCTTGGATCTGGCGCACTGTGAAACACTGAGGAACATGGGCTTTATCCTGTAAGCCAGGGGCCCCTGGTGGGTTGATCCACGGTTAAGGGCTCTACCTATACCTCCCTTTCCTTGCTCAGCAGCCCTCAGGAGCCGGTGCAGAGAGGCCCGTGGAGGGGCTCCGGCCAAGCTGCCCTTCCCCGGCTTCCCTCCTTTGTCTTTCCATACCCTCCAACCTGCTCCCTCTTCCAAGGCCACAGTGACTCAGTGGAGGTCTCCCTAGCCTCCTGTTTCAGCCCTCCCCTCCAGCTAGGCGGGCCCTGCGCATTCTGGGACCTGTGAGGAAGAGACTGCCAGCCCCTCAGCGCAGGGGCAATGTTGGCGTGGGCTCTGCAGCACTGGTACTCGGGGCTGCCAGCACCTCGCAGAGGCTCAGCAGATGGCTAGCTACTGAAGGCAAACGCAGCTCCATGCCCGAGTCTGTAAGCACCAGTGCAGTCACGGGGCTCAGCCCACCCCAGGGAACATGGAAGCAATGCTCAAATGACTACCATTGGATCTGCTTTCTGTTATTTTTTTGGATTTTAGCCAGAACCTTTCCTCTCCTTTCTGTTTATCTACATACTTATTTTCCCATATTTGGGTAAAAACAGTGAAGAGAGGATCCTACCCTGGGACACCTAAGGATGGGTGGGCCACCTGCAGGGAGAATGTCCTGTTTACCTGCCCGAAAGAGATCCACCTTCTGTAAGTTAGGGGGCATGTGCTTCAAGGCGACATTTTTCAGATAGGTCTCTGTGTTCACCATGAACCTGAAAGACATGGATTCAAACTGCTGTGGTGTGCACAGCTGATGGACGTCCAAGGTTAGCAGGCAGCAGCGCACAGCCCTCGAGGACAGGCCTTATGCTGAACCAGCCAGGTGCCCCATGCCGACAGCTCACTCACTCACTCTCTGGCAAAGGCCAACTCTTCCGGGGAGAGGCTGGAAGGCTCCCCCTCGGGCCGGGTTTTCTCCTTCTCAAGGACATGAGGGAAAAACTTCTCTATCTGTGAGGATAAAGCAAAATCTTCATGAAAACGTCGGTAAAAGTCAAAGACAAGGATGTGGTTAACATAAAGAGGGTTTACACAACTCTCCCAAGGAAGGACGTGTGGTCTGGAGGTGGGACAGTGTGGGTAGAGAGGCACACCATAAGACACGGGACAACATCTCTGAGACACCTTTGCAGGCAAGCTGTGGACGTGGGGCTGGGGGACAGCTTGGATTGGGAGACTCCTAAGTGGCTGAACAAAGAATGCTGACTCAATGGGTAGATGTCAAACTGTAAGGAAGTCTTTGGTGAGAGATCCTTAACACAGTCTAATTAATATTCACATAAGGTTTTTTTTTTTTTTTTTTTTTTTTTGAGATGGAATCTCATTGTGTTGCCTAGGCTGGAGTGCAGTGGTGCGATCTTGGCTCACTGCAACCTCCACCTCTCGGGTTCAAGTGATTCTCCTGCCTCAGCCTCCTGAGTAGCTGGGGCTACAGGCAAATGCCACAACACTCCACTAATTTTTGCATTTTTAGAGATGGGGTTTCACCATGTTGTCCAGGCTGGTCTTGAACTCCTAACCTCAGGTGATCCACCTGCCTTGGCCTCCCAAAGTGCTGGGATTACAGGCATGAGCCACTGCCCCTTGGCTGGTCATCACCAGCTTTTGGTCATCAAAAACCTTATGTGGGCCGGGCACAGTAGCTCATGCCTGTAATCTCAGCACTTTGGGAGGCTGAGGTGGGGGTGGATTACCTGAGCTCAGGAGTTCGAGATCAGCCTGGCCAACATGGTGAAACCCTGTCTCTTCTAAAAATCAGGCGGGCATGGTGGCAGGGGCATGTAATCCCAGCTACTTGGAAGGCTGAGGCAACAGAATCACTTGAACCCAGGAGGGGAAGGTTGCAGTGAGCTGAGATCGCACCACTGCACTCCAGCCTGAGCAACAGAGCGAGACTCCATCAAAAAACAAAACAAAACAAAACAAAACACACACAACCCAGCAAATAAAAAAACAAGGGGCCTGATGACATAAAGTATTAAGAGACAGCTAATACATTAGGTGACAAGATCAGGATCCAGAGACAAGGGAAATGGCCCAGTTTAATAAGATAAAGTTTAAGAGGAATAAGTATCAAGCCCTACACTTAAGGAGCCAAAACCTAAGCCGTGCAAGTAGAGGACAATGACTGGATGGGATAATTATCATATTAAAAGGGGTTAGCGTCCACGTGAGTGAAGAATGAGCTCAGGCAGCGTACCTGTCAATATGCTAATGTGATAAATATGCTAATGTGATGTGGTTGGCATTACTACCAGCTTAATAATCAGAATAAGAGAAATGATCAGGCTGTTTTTCACAAACTTGGTCAAACTACAACTGGGATACTGTGTTTAGTTTTAGATAGTGTAACTTAAGAAGGATAAAGACAAACAAGAACCCTTTTAGAGACCAGGAGAGTAAATGGTTTGAATGGCTAAAATGTGTGCCTGAGAGAAGACTTTGAGGAGACTGTGGGCAGTCTTCAGATAGCTGAAGCATTCTCGTGTAGAAGAGATAATTTATTTTATTTGTAATAACTAAAGAGACACACAGAACCAAATGAAATGTCAAGGAAGTAGGAATTTCTCAGGGTTATAAAATAGGAATGTTTTGCAATCTCTTTTCTTTTTTTTTTTTTTGAGGCGGAGTCTCGCTCTGTCACCCAGGCTGGAGTGCAGTGGCACGATCTCAGCTTACTGCAACCTCCACCTGCTGGGTTCAAGCAATTCTCCTGTCTCAGCCTCCAGAGTAGCTGGGACTACAGGTGCCTGCCACCGCGCCCGGCTAATTTTTTTATTTTTAGCAGAGATGGGGTTTCACCTTGTTGGTCAGGCTGGTCTCAAACTCTCCTGACCTCAGGTGATCCACCCTCCTCAGCCTCCCAGTGCTGGGATTACAGGTGTGAGCCACCATACCTAGCCTGCAATTTCATTTTTGTAAGTTAGATAGCCACAAAGCTGTAGGCGAATGTAAGTCATCCTGGCTCATTTGACATTGACGCTGGCCATCTGACAGGCAAAATAATTTTGGAAACAAGTTCTCCTCTAGTCAGCATTCCCTATTCACCAACGCCAACGACTCTCCCTTCAGCACCGCCATGCTGTAATGCAAGGGGGTACCATTCACTCAGCAGGTGAACAGACTAAAAATGTGTGCGGTGTTCCCGCAGTGGGCAACACATGCCTCTCTGTGCTTCTGCGGAGCAATCTCTCGCTCTCTTTACACTTTAGCTACACTGATACTGGGCTCTCAGCAGTGTCTTCAGGTCCTGCACCCTCCTGGGCCCCAGTCCAAGTTCTCCCCAGGACATTCAGTCTGCTTTACAGACTGCGCTGTCTCAATGCCTCCAGGTATCTCCACGTCAAACCTTCATGAGGCGACACCGCAAGTAGCTGCTGAGGACGTAGCGGATCCTCTCCATCTCCATTTGGTGGATGCTGACCTTCAGGTCCTCCCTTTTGGCTCTCCTGAGATTTTCTTCCTATTAAATGAGAAACTAAGGTTTATAAAAAACATGATGTTCAACCATCATCATTGGCAACGTTGAGGACCCAGACTATGTTTCAGTCCAAGGAAAACAAAAATATCATGTGAGTTTTCATTTTATTTTATCATTGTATAAAGTGCAAACAATAGTCATTTACTTTTAGAAAATAACCATTTGAATAGAATATGTTCAGTCAGAGGGTTCCAGAAGAACTCCAGTCTGATTGTAAGGGAGATAATACAGCACACAGAAGAAACTTCCATCGGGCCTAAAAAGCAGTATTAAAATACCAGCTGAGAAACTGTGAAATATCCACATTTCACAGCTTCTCTGAAGTTGACAACGATTTAGACTTAGATAATCTAGGCCAGGGACCACAAACTCAAATGTCTGCAGGGGCCAGGTTAGGAGGCTACAAGAGAAGGGTGGGTAGTCAGGGACTGTGGGGAGCAGGGATTACATGGATGGGCAGCTCTCATAGGACTGCTCTGGTCAACTGTTCTCATGCAGAAATGCAGGATTTTAGACTTTTCATGGGAAGCCAATATCCAGATATTTACAAGAACTCTCAAGCTTGATAAACATAGATAACTAATTCAATGTTTTTTTTTTAAAGAACTGGACTGTGGGTTGGAGCCAAACAAAACAGATTTGCTATCAGACCGCAAGCTCTCAGTGTGCTCATCAAATGCTTTTACCTTTCTGCTCCTTTGTCAGCCCAAGACAAGCGACTCTTACCATGTGCTCCAGCTGTTCCATGACACATTCTACAATCTCAGGCTTGCTCTCCAGCAGCTCAGGGGCAAACTTTTCATTCATCCAGGCCTAAAAGACAAATGCCAGAAAAACCAAGCATCATCCACCACAGAGCTAAACAACCTTGTGAGTCAGCCCAAGTCCCACAAAAACCAGGGACGGTGCAGGCGAGAAAACTGTCTGCCCACCAACTGGAAACACTGAAGCTGTTTTGAAGACAAACTACGTTTAGCAATTGCTTTCTCATGTCCTGTTTTAGTTGGGAGGATATGTTCATAACCTTCTATTCAACTGACACTCACACAAACCCTTGCTTACTTCATTTAGTATGACGCCCGGTGCTGAGAGTGACACCACCTGGTGTTCAAACCGTGGCTTTGCCAGGCAGCCCAGGCACACTGTTACTCCACCAGCTCCTTCCTCCCAGGGAGCACCACCCCATGTCTATTTAGAGAGAAAGCAACAACCCACCAATCCACACAGCTCTTCATTCCTGAAGCTCAGAGCACTTCACAAATGTTTTTAATTCATCATCATCATATCGCAGAGAAAATGGATATAGTTATCCTCATCTGATTGAAAAAATACAGATTGAGTAATTTACTAATGGCCCCAAAGTATACAGGATCATAATAGAAACAGGCGCTCATCTATTATGGAGTTTCGGAGCCAGAGGTTAAAGCTCTAATTTATGACTCAGGCCCAGCTGTTTGGTTCATTTTAGAGACTTCTAAGGCTTAGAGAACTGAAATATCCCTAAGTGACTGACGAAAGCTACACTTATCTTTCAATTACAGGAAATGTAGTTTTAGCATAGCTCAGAATTATATGCTGACCAGGCTCAACTTATTTTTTTCTGATGTCCTTGAGTGTCTGCTTCTCTCCATGATCACCATCAAGACACATTACCAAATGCTGGGCATGGCCACTGTCATAAGTGTTTGTGCAGAGCCTGAGCATCTGCAACAGTTCTGCAGACTGAAACAAACAAACAAAACCCTGCATAATGCATGGGAAAACATCGTATTTTCTGACGGGCTTATTAGGAGCAGTATTTCTTTTTGACTGATTTTTATTAAATACTGAATAATTTTTATTTATTTATTTTTGAGGGACAGTCTCACTCTATTGCCCAGGCTGGGGAGCAGAGGCATGATCCCAGCTCACTGCAACCTCTGCCTCTCGGGTTCAAGCGATTCTCCTGCCTCAGCCTTCCAAGTAGCTGGAATTACAGGCATGTGCCACCATGCCCAGCTAATTTTTGTGTTTTTATTAGAGACAGGGTTTCACCATGTTGGCCAGGCTGGTCTTGAACTCCTGACCTCAAGTGACCCACCTGCCTTGGCCGCCTCTCAAAGTGCTGGGGTTACAGGTGTGAGCCACTGAGCCCAGCCAAATATTGAATAATTTTTAAAACTAGAAGAACAAGCTGGGCGTGGTGGCTCATGCCTGTAATCCCAGCGCTTTGGGAGGCCAAGGTGGGCGGATCATGAGGTCAGGAGATCAAAACATCCTGGCTAACCTGGTGAAACCCCGTTTCTACTGAAAATACAAAAAATTAGCCAGGCTTGGCACACCTGTAATTCCAGTTACTTGGGAGGCTGAGGCAGGAGAATTGCTTGAATCTGGGAGGCAGAGGTTGCAGTGAGCAGAGATCGCGCCACTGCCCTCCAGCCAGGGCAACAGAGCAAGACTCCGTCTCAAAAACAAACAAACTACGAGAACAATGACAAGTCCCTGTGTGTCCCTACCTCCTCAGAGGTAATCACTAGCTTGAATTTCGTGTTGAATTTCCTTTATGGTTTCACTACATTTGTTCATATCTCTATAGAATACCTCTCAACTGTTCATGACAGGATATTCAAAGAAAGTGATAGTGCTTGTCTGGTACACTGGGGTACCATTGGGGACCACTTCATTTATATTATGAAATTATGATGATAAAGTATAAAACATTAGGTAGAAGTTTATATTAGTATAAAACTTTCATATAAATCTTTCCAAAATTTTTACTGAGAAACTTGTATCAAAATCCAATCTTTTTTTTTTTTTTTAAATCAGGTTTTACACTTGAAATGGCTACATCTGGTTTCTGGTCACACAGTGGCACGATAATGGCTCACTGCATCCTTGACCTCCCAGGCTTAAGTGATCCTCCTGCCTCAGCATCCAGAGTAGCTGGGACTACAGGCACATACCACAAAGCCTGGCTAATTTTTAAATTTTTTTAATAAAGATGGGGTTTTACCATGTTGCCTATGGTGGTCTTCGAACTCCTGGCCTCAAGACATCCCCCTGTATCAGCCTCTAGAAGTGCTGGGATTACAGGCTTGAACCACCGTGCCTAGCCCGTGATCAAAATTCCAAATACCAATCAGTTCATTATTGCTACAGGCTTAAGTGTGTCCCCCCTCAAAAATCTACCTAACTTCCAGGACCTCAGACTGTGACTATATTTGGAGATGGGGGCCTTTAAACAAGTGATTAAGTTGCCATAATCCAGTAAGACTGGTGTCCTGATAAGAGGTAATTTCAACACAGACACACACGAGAGGGAAGACCACGCAAGGACACAGGGAGAATATGGTCACCTACAAGCCTAAGGCAGAGGCCTGGGAAGAAGCCAACTATGCTGGCACTTTGACCTGAGCCTCTAGAATTAAGAAAATAAATTTCTATTTAAGCTACCCAGTCTTTGGGACTTTGCTCTGCGGCCATAGCAAACTAAAACAATCATTAAAATGAGCAAATCTGCACTACAGGTAATAACTTTTAAATCACTTTTTATAGGTATTAAAGGGTATCCTATATATGCTCCCAAAGCTGTTCTCATCAGTGGCCCTGTCAGGCTGTCCCTTTGGCTGTGTCATACAGCATAAGAGACAGGATCTGGCTGTGGCAGCCATGCAGGTGGTGGGTCACTTCCTTGGCTGCACTCAGGGCACTGCACTGGAACATCAGGCATGAGATGTTACTCTAGCTCAACCACCGGCAAGCCACAGCGGTGCTGTCAGACCCCCCGCTGCCCATCCTCTAGCTGCCTTTCAAGGACCCCAATGATGCTCACTTGAAAAAGCAACCAGCCTGGGGCTCTGGCTGTCCTGGAAGGTGCAGGGCTCCACACTGAGGCATCTGTGGCACAGCAGTGTGCCACATCACCCAAGGGTGGTGGCTCTGCCTTGAACAGTAATTTTGCAAGTTTGAACTTTACATAAAGTTTCTTTGGCAGCTCATATTTTATGGTTGTTATTGTTCTACATTATGTTCCTGTTATTCATGCTGTTTCAGGAGTTATTTTACTCATTTTCACTGCTATTTCCACTGTACATGGTATATTTTCTCAATGCTATTTATTTATGGTTATCTAGGTTATTTTCATTTTTAACTATTGCAAGCAATGTGTGAAAATATGGTAGATGTCTCCTAGAGTATATGCGGAAGTTTTCACTAGGTATGTACCTGGGGGTGGAATTACTGGACCACAGGTATGTGCACCTTCATCTTTACTAGACAATAACAAATTATTTTCCAAAGTGATTACACCTATTTACATCCCATGGCAGTATATAAGTGTGCAAATTGCTCTACTTTTTTTTTTTTTTTGAGACGGAGTCTTGCTCTGTTGCCCAGGCTGCAGTGCAGTGGTGTGATCTCGGCTCACTGCAATCTCCACCTCCTGGGTTCAAGAGATTCTCCTGCCTCAACCTCCTGAGTAGCTGGGATTACAGGCGTGACAACACGCCCGGCTAATTTTTGTATTTTTAGTAGAGATGGGGTTTCGCCATGTTGGCCAGGATAGTCTTGAACTCCTGACTTCAGGTGATCTGCTCGCCTCGGCCTCCCAAGGTGCTGGGATTACAGGTGTGAGCCACCGAACCTGGCCTGCCCTATATTCTTAATTTTTTTCTTTTTGGGATAAGATCTTGCTATGATCCTCAGGTTGGTCTCAAACTCCTGGGCTCAAACGAACCTCCCACTTTGGCCTCCTGAGTTGCTAGAACTACAGGCATGAGCCACTGTGCTCAGCTGCTCTACATTCTTGCCATAATTTACATTGCTCACGTTTTTCAGTTCTTCCAATCTGATAGATATGAAATGATATCTCATGATTTTAATTTTCATTTTCCTGATCACTAAAAAGGTTGAACATCTTTTTCATATGCTTATTGGCCATCTTGTTTTCTTCTTCTTCCAGGTATCAGTCTGTATTGGGCAGTCTGAAAGAGTTGTTTATGTACTGTGGATAATCATCTTGTGTCAGCTACATATTAACATTTTGCAAGTATCTTCTCCCAGCATGGTGGCCTGTCTTTTCACTCTAATCTAGAAGTACAAACAGGCAGGGCACAGTGATTCACACTTGTAATCCCAGCACTTTGGGAGGCGAAGGCAGGCAGATCACAAGGTCAGGAGTTTGAGACCAGCCTGGCCAACATAGCGAAACCCAATATAGTGAAACCCCATCTCTACTAAAAATACAAAAATTAGCCGGGCGTGGTGGCGCACGCCTATAGTCCCATCTACTCAGGAGGCTGAGGCAGGAGAATCACTTGAACCTGGGAGGCAGAGGTTGCACTGAACCAAGATCACGCCACTGCACTCCAGGAATGTATCCCTTTTTTCCTTTATGCTTTGTGCCTTTTGATTTTTGTTTAATGAACCCTTTCCTAATGAACAAGGAACTCTTATGCTGTTCCACAAACTAGGTCTGTGGGTGGATTTCAGGGGATCTGTGATGCCCTGGAAGTCATATGCAAAATTCTGCATGGGTGCATGTGTGCATTATTCCGGGATGAAAGACCAGAGTTTTTACCAGTTTCTCAAAAAGGTCTGTGATATAAAAACAGATTAAGAATCAGTGCTGAATAGTAAGGATCATCATATAAGGTATAATTCAAAAATTATTTTAGTTCGGTTTTGTCATTCATGATATCATGTATGGTAGGGAAGAATGAAGAATACTAAAGTCGCAAACATGAGAGAGCTCTGGAAAGGGGCAGTTAGAGCAAGAGGGTAAGGATAATTACTATGAACAGCTCACGTCTAGTGAGTGCTTACCACGTATCAGACAGCATGCTGAGTACACAATTATAATTCCAAATTTAATCAACCCAAAACTCTAGGAAGGAGACACTATTATCATCTCAATTTTATTTTATTATTTTTTTGAGATGAAGTTTCACTCTTGTTGCCCAGGCTGCAGTGCAATGGTGGGATCTTTGCTCACTGCAACCTCTGCCTCCCGGGTTCAGGTGATTCTCCGTCCTCAGCCTCCTGAGTAGCTGGGATTACAGGCATGCGCCACCACGCCCGGCTAATTTTTGTTTTTTAGTAGAGATGGGGTTTTATCATGTTGGTTATGCTGGTCTCGAACTCCTGGACCTCAGGTGATCCATTCACCTCAGCCTCCCAAAGTGCTGGGATTACAGGCTTGAGTCATTGTGCCCGGCCCTACTATCTCCATTTTATAGTCAAGCAATGGCTTGAGACAAACTCCCCAACTTGCTTAACATCACGTAACAGAGTCGTGTCAGAGACAGATTTAAATCCACATAGTCTGAACTGTTACCAGAGCGTCATGAGATATAAGTGTAAAGAACACAGTTACTGGCACATGGGAAATACGCAATAAGTCAGAGCTATTACAACTAAAAGGAGAAATATTTCAGAAAGGATTTTAGATAAGCAGTGGACATATGGAGAGCAGATGACTCAAGAAAAAAACGTGTGAGAAAAAGGAAGAATATGACCAGTTATCCCTTACGGGCATTTCAGCACTTTCTTGCTAAACAGGCATTCTCCAGGGAAACAGCAGATGTACAAGGGACTAAGGTAAAGAAGTTAGCAGTCCCACCACACCTCTACAGTCCCTGAAAATATCACGTGGATCTTGCTCTGTGAACTGTTCACTGAATGTGCCCAAAGCTGTCTCTTACTGACCCCACTTGGGAATGCTGTGTTTGATATGATGAGGTCTCTAACAGAGGATGTCCTTCCTGCTTCCCGTTTCCATGTAGATGGTAAGATCCAGTCCCTGCTCTCCTGAAATAAGCCCTGAATTCCATTTCTTCATTTTGTGATCCCTGATATTCACAGATGAACTAAATAAAAAGGCTGACTGGAGCAAAGGGATTCGATCTGAGATGCTTACCTGCTCCAACCTTTCAATGAGCTCTGCAGGAGTTAGGACCACTTCTTCACTACCCCCATCAGAGTCCTGTCCCAGGAAATCCAGTTCTTCGGTCATCTTCTCTGAAACCAGGAACCTAATGAGAAGGAAAGAACCAATACTCTGCAATGCATTTTCTATTTATTTGCAAGAATAGATATCTATCTGGAGACGGGAAAGGTTTATTGCGGTTTCCTGCGGTTGTAGAGGCCCATTAGCAAGTGGTGAGAGAACGCAGGGACTCTAGTTTTCCAGTATCTGCCTCTTCCTCCAAGGCTCAGGTCAGGTATCCGTTTCTCAAACAATCCTCCCCTTTATTACTGCCCACCAGGAACTGACCACCTATCACATCATAGAATCAGTATTCATTTCTTTGACTTCCCAGCAGAGGTCCTGTTCCTCAGGGACGGGGTTCGTTTCAGTTCACATACGAATCGCGCCTCTGCTCAATGCCTGGCACTAAGCACTGGGGACGCAACGACTTGGGGAGCCCCTGCGCTCAGCACAGTGCTTGACTCCTAGCAGGCACTTAACATTGTTGGGAGCTGGCCGGGCTCACGCCTGTAATCCCAACACTTTGGGAAGCCGAGGCAGGAAGATACCTTGAGCCCAGGAGTTCGAGACCAGCCTGGGCAACATAGGGAGAGTCTGTCTCTATAAAAATAAAAATTGTTAGGAGGATTAATCAATGCTAATTTCCCAGAGCCACAAGGCCCGGCGACATTAGACCAGTCGGCGACTCCAAAGGCCTAAGGAAGTGGATGGCGGGGACGAGCAAAGCCCCCGGGGTCGCAGGGAAACTGCCAACATTCCCCTCCCCTTCTACTACCTTTCAGTGCCACCCACACAGGCCTTCCTTCGCCACAGAGGTCCCACTCGACGCTCACTCGGGGACCTGGGAGACAGCGAGGCACTCCACAGCAGCAAGCGGTAAGGACGGGAGTTCGTGGGGACGCAGTCGGGGAACCTGGAAGCAGGAAGACAGCGGAACAAACTGCTCAAGGCCTTCCGCAGATGAACCCGAGCCTCCAACTTCTCAGCTCCCGCGCTACTCTCGGAAACTTTCCGCCTAGGCAGGACGTCATCGCGCACGGGCGAGATTGACCAGTCAAGGCGCGGGGGGGAAGAGCGGGGCGGTCTTCTTGGGCCCGCCCACCCGAGGGGTGGGGACTGTCTTCGCGGCTGCTCGCAGTCCCAGCAACCCGTGGACACTAAGCGGCTGGAGGCTGGTCCGGGTGGACCCCGCCCACCTGGGTCGGCGGTTCGGGTCTGCGGTCCGGGTTGCACTACTCACGAGCGTCGGGAGGGGGCGCCCCGTACCGTGGCCAAGGGGAGTGGCGGTGTCCGCCCCGGGGGGTCCCACCCAGAAGTGTGCTGTTGAGAGCTGGCCGCAGCAGCCTCTTGGGTCGTCTCCACCCACAGCTCCCGTGGCTCTTTGGGTTCCTCCGTCTTTGCGGGGTTTCAGCTGTGGTCACTATGGTCGGTGCCTTCAGAATCTCCAGTACATTCCTTTTTATCTTTCTTGAGACAGGGTCTGACCTGCTCTGGTGCCCAGGCTGGAGTGCAGTGGCACCATCACAGCTCACTGCAACCTCTGCCTCCCGGGCTCAAGCGATCCTTCCACCTCAGCCTCTGGAGTAGCTGGGACCACAGGCCAGCGCCACCACGCCCAGTTACTTTTTAATTTTTTTTTTTTTTTTAATGTAACTATGAGGCCGGGCGCGGTGGCTCATGCCTGTAATCCCAGCACTTCGGGAGGCCGAGGCGGGTGGATCACGAGGTCAGGAGATCAAGACCATCCGCGCTAACTCGGTGAAACCCCGTCTCTACTAAAAATCCAAAAATAAAAAAAATTAGCCAGTAATCCCAGCTGCTCGGGAGAGTGAGGCAGGAGAATCTCTTGAACCCGGGAGGCGGAGCTTGCAGTGAGCCGAGATCGCGCCATTGCACTCCAGCCTGGGCGACAGAGCGAGACTCCGTCTCAAAATAAAATAAAAATAAAAATAAAAATAAAATAAAATAAAATAAAATAAAATAAATAAAAAACTGTGGCGGGGCGGGGGAGAGGAGTTGTGTCTCCCTATGATGGCCAGGCTGGTCTCGAACTCAAGGACCCAAGTGATCCTTCCACTTCTGCCTCACAAAGTGGCTAGTGGTTTTTGAAGCCTGGGATCTGACAACCAGCAGCAGCATCCCCTGGGACTCCGCGACAATGCAGATTCTCAGGCCCCACCCAGGCCCACTGAATCAGAAACACTGAGGGTATTTCACTAGACCCAGGCCCTCCCGGTGACCCTGACGCAGGTGAGGTTTGAGAATCACTGCTTTGGGGCAATGCTTTCAACTCAGCTTCTGGAGGGGAAAAGCAAAAAAAACCCATGTCTGTATATTTATATATTTTTTCCATCTTTGTGTGATCCAGTTTTTCTTCTCTGAATTGCTGATTCTTTTCTCTTTGCTGTCCTGCATTTTCTGTGCAAAGCGTTGCTTCTGGCTTCCCTAAAAGTGTCTCTTCTCCATCAGTCTGAGGGCTCTTTGTGAAGCTGCCCTGTGATGTCATATTGATTGACTAGTAAAATGATTGGCTAGTATAGGATGATTGTACCTGCCTGATGACAATCCTGTTTTAAAAATGACAATAGAATAAGCTGAGTGAGAGAGTGGGCATCTTTACAAAGGGTGTGTAAGCTGGGGCGTATCAGCACGGGATTCCCAGAAGGAAGGGACATTTGAACTGGGTCTTACAAAATGAATTTTGTGAGTGGCAAATAAGTGGTCATTTCAAGGTCTGTTTCAACGCTGTGTTTCAATGGTTTGGGCATCCCGTTGTTTTTGGTTTGGCAGAGTGTGTTTCCCAAACACAGCTGTTCTGACATGGATCTCACCCCACATACCCTTCTTACCATATGACACTGACACGCCTTCATCAAGAGGTGGGGTCTATGTTCTCATGTTTTATTTGTTTATTTAGAGACAGAGTCTCACTCTGTCACCCAGGCTGGAGTGCAGTGGGGCGGTCACGGCTCATTGCAGCCTTGACCTCCCTGGGCTCAGGTGATCCTCCTGCCTCGGCCCCCATGAGTAGCTGGGACTACAGGTGTGCACCACCATGCCTGGCTAATTGTTTTGTATTTTTAGTAGAGATGGGGTTTCATCATGTTGCTCAGGCTGGTCTTGAACTCAGGCTCAAGTGATCCGCTCACCTCAGCCTCCCAAAGTGCTGGGATTACAGGCATGAGCCACTGTGCCTGGCCCTGTTCTTGCCTTTTACATCAGGAAAGAGCTTTTTAACTGCTTTGACCAAGAGAATTTGGCAGAAGTGATGCTGCTTGGCTTCCAGGACTAGGTCATAAAAGGCAATGTGGCTCCCACTTGGCTCTTTTTTCTGGAGCCCTATCCCTTGAGAGCTGTGGGCTGATATGGAAGAAGTCTGGCTAGCCTGCAGTTGCGGTGCGATAGAGTCCTTATGAAGAAGCCAGGCAGAGATGGGGAGCCTTACTGGACGAACCCCAGAACCCCAGTTGTTCCATTCTCCAGATGTCTAGGTTGAATGAGCCTTCAGGTGATTCCAGCTCTGAGGCTTCAAACTGTCCCAGCTAAGATGAAGGGAGCAGAGATGAGCTTCTCTGCTGAGCCCTGCCCAAATGGCAGATTTGTGAGCAAAATAAGTATTGTTGTTGTTTTAGGCCCTATGTTTTGGAGTGGTTTGTTATGTAGCATTTGATGACGGAAACAGTGGTCTTTGAGCACAATCCTATTCTTCCATAATTCTCATTACCAAATAGCTTTTCAATGATGTTTATTAATATTCCTTAAGTGTTACGGATTTGAGTCCAAGCATAGATAACGTCTCTACACAAGTGCCGATTATGTACTTTATTGATTTAAAAACTTCCCTTCTCTGGGTCCAATCACCGTCTCCAATCTCCCCCGCTCCTCCACTGGAGAAAATTTTTGTATTTTTAGTAGAGATGGGGTTTTGCCATGGTCGCCAGGCTGGTCTCGAACTCCTGACCTCAAGTGATCCACCTGTCTCAGCCTCCCAAAGTGCTGGGATTACAGGAGTGATCTACCACGCCTGGCTAGTCACACTACCTTTTACACAAGAATAATATGTGTCTGCCTGAAGACAGAGGGACAGACCAAAAAATTGAGGGACCCCTTTCGCTTCTAAGATCTTTGATTACAACTAATATTCATTAGACAAAAACACTTCTAGAGGAAATGAGTTGGCAGAAAAATATTTCTACTATGTAGAGAAGGGTTATTAAAAGAAATGCCAAAGCAACACACAAACTTTCGGTGAAAGTGTTGATCATTTGGCACTGTAAAGTTCAGGAAGGTGGTAGAAAAGAGGTCTTCAGTTACATTATGCAGAATGAAGAGAAAAATCAGGAACATCTGGTTGATGTGCACCCACTGTCAAGAAGTGTTTTAGAAATAATAAGATAGCCACATAAATGGAATGCGATTCATTAAAATGATCACAGATAAAAGAGGATTACATAGATTGTGATAGCAGGAGGATGAAGTTTGTGGACAGAATTTGCAGGCAAGCTTAGATGTTTTAAATTGCAAGATGAACATACTAACATGAATTCAGACAAGTAAAACATGAAGTTACATCGAAAGAGAAGGAAAAAGCTACTGCCCAAAGTGGAAGAGGAGGATACAGAAAATAGGATCCTATACAGCTGAAGAAAGTGACAAGCCACAGCAATTTCCAGATATTCTCAGTGAAGATGTTAATGGAAATTATAGACACAGCAAATAGAAACAGCCAAAATATTTGTGGGCAGCCATACATTATTATTATTATTATTGTTATTATTTATTTTTTTTTTGAGATAGAGTCTCCCTCTGTCGCCCAGGCTAGAGTACAGTGGCGCAATCTCGGTTCACTGCCAGCTCTGCCTCCCAGGTTCACATCATTCTCATGCCTCAGCCTTCCAAGTAGCTGGGACTACAGGCGCCTGCCACCATGCCCGACTAATCTTTTGTATTTTTAGTACAGATGGGGTTTCACTGTGTTAGCCAGAATAGTCTCCATCTCCTGACCTTGTGATCTGCCCGTCTTGGCCTCCCAAAGTGCTGAGATTACAGGCGTGAGCCACCACGCCTGGCCCAGCCATACATTATTTTTATTTTTTGAGACAGAGTCTCGCTTTGTTGCCCAGGCTGGAGTGCAGTGGCATAATCTTAGTTCACTGCAACCTCTGCCTCTCAGGTTCAAGCGATTCTCGTGCCTCGGCCTCCAGAGTAGCTGGGATTACAGGTGTGCACCTCCATGCCTGGCTAATTTTTGTGGTTTTAGTAGAAATGAGATTTCCCCATGTTGGTCAGGCTGGTCTTGAACTCCTGACCTCAGGTGGTCCGCCCACCTCAGCCTCCCAAAGTGCTGGGATTATAAGCATGAGCCACTGCTCCCGGCCAAAAAGATACATTATTAATGAGAACAAATTTAATTTTTTTAATCACAAAGGAAAAACGACAGCAAATACTATATATCTATACAGAATTGTGAACTTTCTGGAGAAAGATGCTTTCAGAATACAAGTGATGGCATTATTATTGTTCTCATATCACTGCCCTTGCTTGTTTGGTCAACAGCTGTTTCTCAGGGGTCCCTTTTTCTGAATTCCATCACATTCTTGGTCTCACTGCCCTGGGAACCAAAGCATTAAGATTTGGGAGTGTATTAGTTAAGTAGAGTTTAACTCCCAGTTTTTCTGAATGCATGAAGATTGGCACTACAGACAGCCATGTAAGAAGACAGCTTGCATTTTTTTTTTGAGACAGAGTCTTGCTCTGTCACCAGGCTGGAGTGCAGTGGCATGATCTCGGCTCACTGCAACCTCCGCTTCCTGGGTTCAAGTGATTCTCGTGCCTCAGCCTCCCAACTAGCTGGGATTACAGGCGCCTGCCACCATGCCTGGTTAATTTTTGTATTTTTAGTGGAAACAGGGTTTCACCATGTTGACCAGGATGGTCTCGATCTCCTGACATCGTGATCCACCTACCTTGGCCTCCCAAAGTGCTTTAAGAAAGGCAGAAAAGTGCGCTTAGGCTGTTTAAT